CTGGCTTCCAGTGATGCCGCCAGCCTCCATTGGAGCCGGTGAGGAAGTTCGCGCTCCGGCTTCTCAGCAGTCACGTCATGCCACACTGTGCATTTCTCTGCCGCACCCGTCCCCAGGGTGCACTCAGGCGCCATGCAAACGCTGGCCATCCCAGCTCTCAAGCTGCCTGCGATGAGGTCATGGGTGGGGCCCCGGAGACCCCACTCCAAATAGGGTGGGGGCTTCCCCGACTGGCCTGGGGATGGGCCGAGAGGACCGGCAAGGAGACAGTAATATTGTGTGTCCAACCTGCTACTCCCTCTCTTAATGTTCTGTGGGCTGGTGTAGATAGAAGTGGAGGGGAAAAGGAGAACAGAAGATTTGGGAAAGAGAAAGATAAGGAATTGGCATTGCGGGTCACTCGCCGCACTAACTATGGCTGGAGAGAGGCAACTGATGGTATCTCCTGATCACTTTGCAAGGAGCCGATCAAGCTGACATCTTGGTTTTCTCTAGTGTCCTTCTTACCTAAATCGCTTTCTTATCATTGAGACCATGAGGCAGAGGAAGCCACAACAGTTCACTTTATGTAACTAGAATTTGACACAGAAGGAAAAAAATATTCCAGAAACAGAGAAAGGACTGGTGTAGCAAGAAGACAGAGCCCTCTCAGCCCAAGAGCAGGGTCCCAGGCAATGCTCACATTGCTCACCCAGGCCTAATGGGTGAGAAATTAACCTTGCTAATGTTTCTGTACCAGTGGATTTTGCAGCCTGAGGTCACCTAAATGTCCCAAACCACTCAAGCTCTGTCAAATCCACAGGGTTTTATAACCTTTGCCTGTGAGCACGCATGTGTGCGTGAAGGAATGAATGTGGAGCTGTGATAAAATCTCTGCCTGCTGGAAGAATGTGCAGATTTCTGTGACAATCTGGTTTTTTGTACCTGGAATTGTGCCTCAGAAAGATGGGAACACTGATAACAGAGACATTCTCAGGGAAAATGGAACAACACATCACATATTTATATGCCCCTCCACCTCAACCCACAAGATACTTCTCATGTGACCAATGCACAGAAAAATAAGAAAACATCTTATCCTCGCTGCTCCCTACCTGTGTATGAGGCACAATTGAGAAGGCAAAGTCACCCTATTTAGATAACATTGTCAGCCGACTGTGACTTGAATTAATCAATGTTGGGTTGAACTGTTTCATTCTCCCAGAATATATAATATCTGTAACATCCTCCCGTGTCAGTTACAAAGGAAAAGACAAATGATTTATTTAACTTTTAAAAACATATTCTGCAAAACAAGTTAATAAGAAGCCATAGTAACTGCACTTAGGAGAATTTTTGGAATGATATTAAAATCTTCCTTGGGAAACATTTCCAAGTTAATAGGAGAGTCACAGCTCCGGAAGTTGAGTTGCACATAACGGGATAAGAAAACATAGATAAACTGACTTTGGCAATAAGTTAGCCTGTCACCACACACTGACAAATGCTACGTTCATCAGATTGGAGATTTTGAAGACTCCGCTTACATTTTCTGAAACCAATGGCATTTTTTATATAGTGAAAGATAGTTAAAGAGGTTCATGCGTCAAGCAGAATAGAAAGTAGGAGAACGCTCTCCTGCGGGGGTTTTCTAACCTCTGATTTATCATTTGTTGACATACTTTTTACAAGTTCCCCCATTTCTTTACAAGGAGCTTTCTTAAGTTCTCCCAGTAAATGTTTTGATGAAGGCCGAACAGGAGGTGAAAAGAGAAAAACTGCAGTGAAAATGGTAGCTTACCTTGTCTGGACATTGCTGGTATCAGACTTTCCCCCAAAACATGAGGCTTTCTTGCTTTGGTTGTCCCATGAATGTAGTCACCATTAAAAATTTAAAGCAGAAATATGTGTTTATTATTCGAAGCTGCTCCAAAACAACGCAAAAAATAAGTTGATGAAAAATAAAGTGCTCGTCTGAGCATGAGAATGCATTTGAAGCTTGGAGCTCATGCTGTTGTACGAAGTTTTGCAACTGTCTTTCTCAGTTTAAACAACCTCCCACTCCTTCTCCCAGGCACTTGCCAACTTCTATAATTTAAAGCAACTGCGATCCTTCCCATAATACTCACATTTCAAAGAGCTTAATATATACACTAGTTAAGAACAAGTAGGAGTGGGTAGTGTTCTTCTGCAATCCCCAGACTGAGGCGAATGAAAAGCAGGGGTCTCAGGTATCTAAACAGTTCTCTTTCTCTCTTTTATCCATTGCTCTTGTTACCATGTTACTTCTAGTTGCTCTGCCTTTTAAAGTGATGCCTAAAGACCAAATAGTATCATGTCACTGGAAGCAAAAAGAGTACACAGGAAAGTTTATGCCCCAACTTATGGAAAAATGATGCTGGTGAAATTATGTTTAAACATCACTTTTGCTAACAGAATTATTTCCATGCAATTTGTGCCTAATTTATCTGCATGAAAAATCTAAATTATTATATGCGATTTTTTTCCACAAAAGGGAAAACTGCCTAAAACGATGTTTGCATTGGTCTTATTTTAAACTTTATCTTACATACGAATCATGAACTAAAGAAGACGCTTACTTTGCAGTGTCTGTCTGTGGCTAAATAAATCTTCTGACATTTGATCTGTAACCAATGTTACAAATGTTATTATTTTTACTGCTTTCCATCAACTGCCACTAAAACACACACACACACACACACACACACACACACACACGAGCATTTGTGAATTCAAATTATAGCCAACTTACAGTGTGATCAACTGAAAATGGTGATATGAAAAATATTTGATAGTATATCTCAAAACAGATCTTGCTTAATACCTGATAGATAACAGGTGCTCAAAAAATACTGAATAAATAATGTATTGCATATGTTCACACCAACCAACAGTTTTGACAATTTTGGTTTGCGTACATGTTCCCATTAGCGATGGTTAATATGTCAAAGCTTGTATAGAAGTAAACATAAGACAATACCTTTGCCAGGCATACATTAATGAATAGTTATGATGTATTAAAGTTTCCTAAATGAATTGAAAACATCAGTTAAATAAACAGACCAATTAATAGATAATAGAAATATTGACATGGGCATAATCTATTAAATATGTTCACCATGCAAAGTTATGCAAACAAGTTTCAGGAAACAAACCTCATTCATTATTTCAAAAACTACAGCTTCTTTTCCGCTGTTTTCTGAGTCACCTAAAATAACTATTATGCAATGGGCAGAGGATAATACCTCTGATTTTAATAGTGCAAAGAAAGAAAGGATTGAAAACTACAAGAAAACGTTCAAGTTTTAGGTGTTATTTGCTGTGAATGCAGAGAAAAGATGGAGTCTATTTTCACTCTAACTTCCACTGAGGAGAGATTTGCAGGCACCAGCACGTGTAGTGTCATAGACCTGAACTCAGATCCTAGATTTACCACATTCCAGTTACATGACCTTGGATGTATTACTTTCTTTGAACTTTGGTTTCCTTAGTTGAGATAGATTAAATGCCAATAAGTAAAAACAACCTATTCACATAATTCTATGCAACAAATATGAATTAAGCACTTTGCTGCGCATCAGGTACTTAGCAAGACCTATTGAGGAGTCACTGAGATTTAAGGATGTTCGTGACAGCAACTAGCCTAGCTTTTCCTGACCCATTTCAAAACTGATAATAGGCATGGGATGCTGCTCTGACAAAAACCTAAACATGGCGGCATTGGCCTCATTGTGAGTGTCGAGGGAACTGATATCAAAGGTTGGAAAGATGAAGTTCCATGTTTTGCAGTAGCTAAACATTTGGTGAAACTGACACCTATGACAGTTTGTAAGGCAATATATGCTAAGTAACCGTGTAGCTCTAAAGGAAAAGGATGGGGAGAGAATGTTAGTTGTGTGGGTTGGGTACTTTTGAGTGCATTTGGCAAAGTGTTTCAAGAATGAGATGAACTCAGGAAAGAAATAGCTAATTTATAAACAGAAATAAGAGGGAATCGGGAAAGAGTACCTACATTTGATGACTTGTAGTAGCCTACCAATTTTTTGAGGGACATATATTGCTAAAAACAAAAAAGCCTGTAATCCTGTACTACAAATGTCTCTAAAGGTTGGGAACAACTTCTCCCAGTGGCAGGCAAGGCTGGCTATAGGCCTGCATGGAGGGAAAGCTCTCCGAAACCCACCTCTGAGGTGGCCAAGGAGAATGGGCAAGGGGAGCCTCTCAGAAGGAAGAACTAGTGGCCACAGAGAAATACTCCTTTGGTGGAAGTAATATTCCCTGGAGAGCAGAACCGGGGTCAAGAACCAACACCACCCACAAGGCAGTGAGCCTTTACTATGTTGGCCTGGCCAGCCTGGGCATCAGTGGCTGCTATGTGTTTCCCATTCTTCCCTTTTCCAAATTAGATTTTATGTTATGGTTCTCTTATTGCTATTACATTGTGTGTGTGTGTGTGTGTGTGTGTGTGTGTGTGTGTGTGTGTGTGTGAGGGAGAGAGAGATATGGTTTGTAACCAAATCTCATCTTGAATTGTAGTTCCCATAAACCCCACATGTTGTGGAAGGGACCAGGTGGGAGATAATTGAATCATGGGAGTGGTTCTCCCATACTGTTCTCATGGTAGTGAATAAGTCGCATGAGATCTGATGGTTTTGTAAGGGGAGACCCCTTTTGCTTGATTCTCTTTTTATTTTTGTTTCTGTTTTTTTTTTCTTTTTTTTTTTTCCTCTCTTTCACTTGATTCTCATTCTGTCTTGTCTGCTGCCATGTAAGACATGCCTTTTGCCTTCCACCATGATTGTGAAGCCTCCCCAGTCATGTGGAACCGTGGATCCATTAAACTTCTTTTTCCTTAAAAATCACCCAGCCTTGGGTATGTCTTTATCAGCAGCATGAAAACGGATTAACACAGTGTGTACGTGTGTGTGTGTGTGTGTGTGTGTGTGTGAGAGAGAGAGAGAGAACTTGTATGTTTCATTCATAGATCACTTCCTTTCTAGTTCACAGGTCACTGGATCAAGAGATGGCCACACCCAGAGTTATGCAGATAACTCCACATGCCCCAGAAGTCCAGATCACCTCGGAGGTGCTGAATGCAGTGAGCAGGTGGGATTAGAGGTTGCTTACTCTCGGGGGGTGGTGGAGTGGGGGCAGTGGCAGGGGCAGTAGGGATGTTCTGTGTTTGGAAAGAGGAGAGAACATTGATTCTTGGTAACCAGGGAGTAAACTATGGCAGATACTTTTGGTGCTTACCGATGTTTATGTATTCCTCTACATTTCCCAGCCTCCTTTGCATTTGTGGTTGACTGTATGATCGATTTTTGGTCAATGGGACGTGAGCAGACGTCATGGGGTGGATACTTCTGGGCTGAGGTAATCAAGAGCTGATGTGTCTACTCCACATTCTTTCTCCCTCTTCTCTCCATATGGCTGGAAGCAAATGACTCAGAAGAGGCAGAGCCCAGTAATAGAAGGAAGGCTGAACCCTGGGGGATCCCTCAGTGGTCTGCTGCCTAGGACAGTTGCTTGGCCTGCATTGAATCTTCCTAAATAGTATACACACATTGTGTCTCTCCATGGAGTTTTGGGATATATTTGTTAGAGTTAGCTAGTGTCAGTTGCTCTAATACAAGCACTTTGAAAGCTTCTTGGACTATTAAGTAAAATATTATATTTAAAGAATGGAGAAAAGGTCCCAACCCAATAATAAATGCTCAACAAATGAATGCTGTTTTATAGAACACCACATTGAGGTATAACGGCATACAATATGCTGTACGTATTTAATGTATACAACTCGATGAGTTTGGAGATACATATACACCAGTGAAACCACAATCAATGCCACCTATATATCCATCTGCCCCCCCAAAATTTTTCTCCCCCCTTATTTATTATTATTATTTTGTCATAAGAACACTTAATATAATATCTATTCTCTTAGTAAATGTTTAAGCATACAATAAGTATAGTTAACTATAGATACTATGCTGTATGATAAATATCTAGGACTTATTCGTCATATATAACTGGAACTTTTTGCCCTTTGATAGCTATTTTTATCTTAACCACAAATCCCTACTTTCTTGCCCTGGCAAAGATGATCCAGCTAAATGCCAGTTGTGAGTACTTGTACAAATTTGAGCTTTATAAATTGTGTGCTAATAGGCTAAGTAAACTGAAAATCATGGAAAGATTAGTGAGAGAAATAGATATTGAAAACAAAAAAAAAATTTACCCTCCATCTTTTAAAAATGTATGCATTTATTAAGAAAATTATCCAATGAGTTACAATTAGATTTTCACGAACAACCTTCAAAGCAGAGTGTAAAGGAAATTATAAACTCCAAGTTATTCATACAAGTTAAATACTCTCCATAGCATTTACTACTATAAACTCCACTTGCCTAAACGTTTGCTTTACTGTGTGTTCTGACATTGACTGTTCCAGGCTGCTTCTCAGTGGAAATAGAGGAAATGTCTTGTTAATGCTGACCAAGAGCTAATTTTCCTACTAACTACCATTCACTGAGGCCACATGCTTTTTTCCTACTGGCTTTGAACTGCTCAGAACAGAGGTACAGAAGGTCCTAGTTCACACACTTTGTTTCCTCTTCAGATATTTGGAGCATTTCCACTAGAAATGCAGCCTCCTTCATTTCACAAACCTTTTAAAAATGAGTCAAACCCTTTTATCCTTCTGTGATTTCAAAGCAACAGTAACAATAATTACAAATATTCATTGAGCATTAACTATGTACTAGGCACTATTTTAGTGCTCTATAAATGTACAAACCCATCATATGCTGTCAGCAAGCCTATGAAGTAGATACAACATTATCCTTATTTTACCAATGGAGAATGTGAAATACAGAGAGGTTAAGGGACCAGCTCAACATCACACAGAAGGTAAGAAACAAATCTGGGATTTGAACCTAGGCTGTTTGGTTCCAGCAATCCAAGCTCTCAAGTGTTGGTGAAAACACATTCATGTCAAATGAAGAAAATATGCTTAAACCATGTATTTTCCTTAGTATTCATTGCTAAGATGGGTATTTGAGATGAGTACAGATTACTTTTGAAAGATGTTCTAAACGGCTAGAGGCAGCAAACACTTTCCTATCTGAATGCGATTATAAGGCTTGAACATTTTTTATGTTTTTCATGTAGTAAGCTTTGTGTGTTAACTTTATTTCTATTCCTTTGCCTGCATGCAGTATCCAGGTTTCAAATTATATCCTGAAACCCAGGTGGCTTCACCTGGATTTTATAATACAGTGTTTGCTGAGTTCTATCAGACATGTGAAGACATTGAGGAAGAGATCAAGGAGAAATGAACCTTGCTTGAAAACCCCATCCCTTTGTATACATTTCTAATGTTTGGAGATTGGAGCTCAACTGAAATGCTTTTATTCAGGGTGGTAGAAAATGATCCAACCCAACTTCAAAGGGAAGCCACTCAGGAGGTGCTGAGCTTTTTCCCAATTGTCAGATGGCACACAGATGCCCACCATGTGCTTGTCACTGTGGAGTACTGGAGACACGGAAGTCATGTCTTTGAGTTTGTAGTCTCTGAGTCACTTTTCATAGGTTTTGACCATGGTGAGCAAATCTGAAGGCTTCTTTATACTTCCTTGGTGATTTAGGGTAGCAGGTCAACTTATTGCAGATAGTCAAAACTAGAAAAGGAGACTAGAAAGGATCTGTTTGTAGACTGTAGGATCAGAGATTTGGAATAAGACTTGAGAGTATTTTAATTCACTCTCTCACTCTATTCCTGATCCATCTGCATGTCCTTGGCAGATGACCACACCACTTCTGCTGGACTGCTCCTAGGGAAGGGGGCCATGGCTTCACATGGCATCAGAATAATTCTCTGAGCAACAGTGACTGTTTCTGCTCTGTTTTCCACACGCAAGAGCCTTTCAGATATCCAAAGGCAATTTTCAGCCTCCCCCACACCTACCAACTTTACCTCCCTTTCTTCAAGTTCAATGATTTTAAATGTTCTTCATGCAATATGATTTCAATTAGGTTACTATCTTGGTTGGCTGCCCTCCAGTGAGCCAATATCTAATTAGTGGTTAAATGACTCATGAGCAGTGTGGTAAGGTGACCAAGAAATCAAAAGTCTGAGTTATAGACTCAACTCTGCTATTGGACTTGAGAAGTCATTTTCCCACTTTTGGCCTCTGAGTATTGTGGCCACCTGTATTACACCTATGTGAGGTGCCTTAATTAGCCCTTGATTCTCATCCTCTGCATGGTCTCCTTTCATGGGTCAGGTGTTCACCATTTAGAATCTACAGGACAATCCAACCTCTCCTTTGGCATCATTTGTGCTTTTCTAAGGCTTGCAGGATCTCACTTCCTGGAGGTAGTGCATTTCCTTCAGGTTTGATATCTCAAACTGTATCACAACTTTTTTCCCTTAAACCCACTCTTCCTGAGTTGCCTAATTCTGTCATTAATACCACAGTCCTCTCAAGTGGTTAGGATTTTAAACACATGTTATTGGTTTTACTTCCTCTTCTTCCCCAAAACATTCAGTCATCAAATCCACATTGTCTTTTCTTTATTATATCTCTAAAATTGGCACCATGGAGCATTTCTATTATTACATTTTAAAAAAATCTAGTGTTTCCCTGGAGTATTGTCTGTGGAATCATACTCTTAAAATGCTCCATGGTAAAAGAAGTTTGGAAGATCGTAGTTATATACAGGAATCTCCAAGAGGCGTATGTCAATTAACTATTTCCGTATTAAAGAACCCCCCAAACGTAGTGACTTAAAATAGTAACCTTTTATTATTCCTCATAAATCTGGGGTTGCCTGGGGAGTTTTGCTGATCTTGGCTGTGCTTGGCTGGGCAGTTATGGTCTTGGCTAAGGCTATCACATGTCTAGTGGTCTTCTGGCTGTTGGTTGGTCTAGGATGGCCTTGGCTGGGTAACTGGCTCTGCTCTGTGTGTCTCATCCTCCAGCAGGATAGTCTGGACATGTTCTCAGGCAACTGAGGAGCCCAAGGGAAATGCTGGAAATATTCAAGTACTTTTTTAAGTCTTTGTTTGCATCAAGTTTGCTATTGACCCATTGGCTAACACAAATGTCATGCTCAAGACCAAAAGTCGGTGATAAGAGTCCACCAAATGACATGGATACAGGAAGATGGAAAATAGTGGTACCATTGGTGCATTCAGTCTTCTACTGACGGGTAAAATATTCTATGTTTTACAAGAAAACACTTGATTCAAAGAATGCTAACTTGAGGAGCACGTTATGGTACAAATATTGTGCAAAGCACATTCATATAATGATACTTGCCTTCCCTTTCCATAATCTTCTTTCCCTTGTCTAGTTTCCCTCTAACAGAAAAGGCATTATCATCTGCTTGGTAAATTCACTGGCCATGATTCACTATTTGTGAGGATGCAACCTTGAACATTTAGGGCTTCTTTGGCTGAATTCTCTTCCTATTCTGTGGTGGAACAAGGAATTATTTATCTTCTTAGGGTGGGCAATCCTCTTGTCTACATTTTTTTCCCTGTCCTCAGGTGAGGTGGATGATTTTCAATTTTCTGTTTTCATTTAGTTACAGGCAAGTCATCTCCCTACAGAGTGAATCCACCATTATTTAAGTGTGTTTTAGATCTTGGGTCTGTACAGTTGATTAAAAAGAAAACAAAACCTGGATTTAGCACTGACTTTGCAGATTAAGGGGTTAGAGGCTGAGAGTAGCAAGGTTTGCTTCAACTTCGAAGCATAAGCCTTGTGCTTTTCAACACCACTCCCAGAGATCAGTTTTTCTTCTCCCCGACCAGAGGGTGGTATTAACGGGCACTGGCTCAGCTGTTAATAAAAGCATGACTTTATCCCTCACTTGGCTATTAATTCTTGCATGCGTAGTTCTCTTGGCAGAGTAAAGCCCTGCTTACAAGGACTCTCAATGCTGTCAAGCTGCAGTAGTTTATCTCACTCACGGAGTACTTACCACTTTCTGCTTCATGTCATAGCTCTTCATGTATGTGCCTTTGTGTGTGTGTGTGGTTTTTATTTACCTATACTAAAGTCTAAGTTTCTCAAGGGCTGGGATTATGTCTTGAACTT